CAGGTCCCACCAGCCTAGCTGCTCTCAAAACATCCTAGCTTCAGAAAGCAATTTGTAAATCTCAGCTAGTGCCAAATTGCTTATCTTGGCACTAGGCAGCCCTGTACTCTTTATGTAGACAATGAAGACTGAGATCATGGACACCACACATTCCAGTTTAATGATCATTAAGTACCTATCATATTTTGGACACGGGGTTAGCCCCTGAAGATCTCGAGGTGACTGAGTGGTAGCCCCCTGCCTAGAGAAGTCTGCTCTGCTTAGGAGACGTGACCAATCCCAAAGCAGATAATTTCACAAACAGGAACTGAGTGGTCATTCCTGTTTTATCCCACCCCTGTAAGGGCTGTTTCTACCAGAGCCTGTGAATGAGACCAGGAATGAGAAACAGCCTAGAAGTTGACACATATGTTAGGCAAGACTCTGTGGAACATGCTGCTCTGTTCATTCTGACCGGAATACTTGGCCCTTTGTGGTTAGCGTCAACTAAAGGCCAAGATTCTAACTCCTCCTTCCCCCCACTGAAGCCTGGCTTTACTCCCCTCCCCCAGCCTCTCCCACCCGCCTTATCCTGCCTCCACCTTTCTGTTTCAGGTGCCTGACTGTATACAGGCATTTGAGACCTGTGGGAATCCCCGGCAGCACTTACGGCCTCTGAACTGGTCAAGGGAATTGAGTAAGGAACCAAATTCAGAGTAGTTCTTTGTCTCTTTTATCTGGCCTCAGGGCCAGCAGGGCAGGTTTCTGCAAGTTTCCCTGTTAAGCTGCTTTCCCCCAAAAGCCGCAAAGCAGTCTGGGAGAGCAGAAAGCAGATTAAATTAATCTCAGTGTGCTGAGCTTGGCAGGGGGCGAGATTGTGTTTGGTCATTCCAGGAATAGCCCAAACTCCTTTGTTACTAAAGCAGATGAGGAGCTATTGGCCTACAAGATGACTGCAAAGCGAAATAGCTGTGAACCTTTGTATATTCATAAAACACTCTCCCATCTGTCCCTTGGATTCTGTCTTTCCTTTGATCTGCCCTGGGTTACAATGGGGAGTGATAGTTTCTAATGTGGTGCAAGAGTTTTTTAGTGTGTTCTCTCTCTTAACAAGATCTTTTTTTAAAAAAAGAGCCTCAAATTCCAAAAAGTTTTGCTTCCTAGAGTTAAGCACTGGCTCTGTAGCCTTTGAGCTCGTGACCGTATCTGTTCACGAATGTATCTGGCATGAGGACAGGATCTGACCTCAAGAGTGATCTTCTGTCTCGCAGTGAACATTAATAGGCATAGATCTGACATAGGAGGGGGGACACGGGCAGGGAACTCAAGCAAGGATAGAGGGATCCCATAAAAGACAAGGTCTGAGGGGCTGTTTTCTGATGAATATCAGCGCAAGAGGCAGGAGGTGGGAGTGATCCCAGAATTCAGAGGAGAATGGATTAATTCCATGGAGGAATTCATGAAACTGAAACAAGGGCATTACCAATTACTTTCTACCTATGCTGTCAGTCAGGTGTGACTGTCTTTAAAGCAAACACAGAAAACCAAAAATCTTACTAACCAGATCTCTTACATGACTACACCTGACAGATGATGCTTAGTATTGACTAGGTACCTGATATTAAAAGATGTAGGCAGAGAGGGCCTAGGATGATGAATTTGTAACCTTTTTATGTAAGAAATACCTGAAAGAACAGAAGGGATTTGGCCTGGAGGAGAGAAGATAAGACTGTGGTCATGAGTGACGACCTTCATGACACCAGGAGCATTCTCAAGCATTTCCTCGTAAGCTAGCACGTGCTGCCTTTCACTGGCTCATTAGTCCTCACAGCAGCACTCTGAGGTAGGCGTAGGATCCTTATTTCACAGCCAATGGAGCCAAGGCTTAGAGAGGGACAATAACTTGCCTGTAATTTACTCAGTGATAGAGACCAGTCTCTAAGCCAGGTCTAAGCCCATGTCTCTGCCTGTTAGACAGATCTGATTGGTCTTGTTTTCTGTGAGTTTAAGGAACAGAATGAGGATAATTGGGCCAAGATTAATAGAAAGACAGATTTTAGGCTCATTATATAAGGAATCATTAATGAGCCATCCAAGGTGGGAACAAACTGCTTCCAGAGTAGTGAGTTTGTCACTGGAGGTATTCAAATAAATGCCAGAAAATCACTGGGTGGGCATATTATAGAAAATATTCAAGCACTGGTAAGAGATCGAACCAGACTTCCAATCCTGTAATTGTATAATCTGCAGTTCATTAGACTCATCAGGGAGTATTTTACCAGGCTGTAATTGGAAGGAAATAGCCATCATCTAAAAAATAAAATTTTAGCCTTCATAGTAATCTTTCTATGTTAGTAATTCATTTTAAATAAAATAGATGTTTCTTAACATATGCAAAACATAAAAGCAGGGAAAATGTAATCGTGTAAAGGCAGACTTAAATATTTAAAATTTAAAAGCACAGAAACTTAATTTGATTGAATCATCAACTCATTCCTCCTAGTTATTCATAGATTGTGAGGGAAAGGGTTTTTTTCTAAGTTCTCAAACACGGATGTGAGGGGCCATCTGGCTGCGACACCTGTCACCCTGTTGATTGGCAGAGTTAATTCCGCTTATCTGGCTGGCTAGGTGTCCCCTTCCTCCCTCACTGCTCCATGTACGTCCCTCCTGAACCAGTGTTCTGGGTCAGAGGGCTGTCCCTCAGTCAAGGGCATACGAGTAGTTGCGTTCCCCTGCTAGAACCTCCAGACAAGCTCTCAAGTTCTCAGACACCTTTGCAACTGGAAAGACGAATTCCAAAAGAAAGGAAATGTTTCCATCTCTACAGAAAAGCCAAAGCTGTTTAAAAACCTTTCAAGTGAATATAGGCACTTAATGGAAATTTTCTAACTTACTGGTATAACTGTGTCTCAAACAAACAAACAAAAATTCATTGGTCCTTTCTCTTAGATGGCCCCTGCTCAGCTCTGAAGTTTATTATATAGCTGAATTATGGAGGACTGAGTACTAAAGACGTGTCATAGTCAACCCTTGTTCATTAAAGGTTTATCCTGGTTTAGTTAGCATTAGAACCACCAGTAAGAACATGGGCTTGAGGCTGGGTGCAGTGGCTCGTGCTTGTAATCCCAGCACTTTGGGAGGCCGAGGCAGGTGGATCACCCACCTCAGGAGTTCGAGACCAGCCTGGCCAACATGGTGAAACCCCGTCTCTACTAAGAATACAAAAATTAGCCAGGTATGTTGGTGCACGCCTGTAATCCCAGCTACTCGGGAGGCAGAGGCAGGAGAATCGCTTGAGGGAGCATAGGTCGCGCCACTGCACTCCAGCCTGGGTGACAGAGTGAGAATCTATCTCAAAAAAAGAAAAAAAAAAAAATGAGCCTGAGTGGACCAAGACCCTTTGTGAACCAGTTATAAACCACCTTTTCTTTTTTCCCCTCCTGCCGCAAGATGGAGTCTTGCTCTGTCGCCCAGGCTGGAGAGCAGTGGGCGCGCTCTCAGCTCACTGTAGCCTCCTGAGTTCAAGCAGTTCTCCTGTCTGAGCCTCCCGAGTAGCTGGGATTACAGGCATGCACCACCATGCCTGGCTAATGTTTGTATTTTTGGTAGAGACGGGGTTTCACCATATTGGCCAGGCTGGTCTTGAACTCTTGACCTCATGATCCACCCGCCTCAGCCTCCCAAAGTGCTGAGATTACAGGTGTGAGTCACCGTGCCTGACCCTAAACCACTTTTCTAAAATGTATCTGTTTTGACTTTTCCATACTGTATAATTAAGCACAAGCAATTCCTATTCTGTGGTGGTATTATGGACCTTTAACATGAAATATGAGCATCTTCATAAAGTTTTATGCAAAGATACTTAAGTGTGCTGAAATCATTTTTAAAGTATGTATCACTCATACCCCACTGGGCTATGCTTTATATTAATGGACTTGTTGCAGTAAAGAAATGGCTTTTTCTTTTTTTTTTCTTTTTTAGGAAGTTCCAGGTTAAAGGCAACCTCAGCTCACGGGGCAGTTGGTGGTGGTAGAGAACAGCCCTGGGAAGGGGGCGGGAGAGAGTTACAGAAGTGAGGAGATGAAGTCTTGCACGTCTAAGACAATGAGACAGCTCATGAGAGATGCTGTTTGAAGTGGAAGAGAGGAAGTCCACTGTGGTGTGGTTGTGTATAGGCACCTAATCTCACTTTCTGGAGCACTCTGTTAGGTCTTTTAGGGGAAGGCGAATTAGGAAAGGTTGTCCACAGAGAGACAGAGGGTCTATGATTTGGTGAGGATCAGATTAGATAAGGAGCTGAGGCCTGATTTTGAGAGCACCCAACTCAGCAGAAACAGCAGAGAAAATCTCAGCTCTGCCTAGCAGCCTTCTTAGCAGAGAAATGAAATCTCTGCATATTTCAATGCACTGACCCCAGATAACCAGTCTGAATAGTCAAATCTACATGATAGTGTTTACTTGGGGTTCAGCCCCCACATTCCCTTGGCATCAATTTCTGGGTTTCCATGTTTTGACATTTCACAGGGCTCTTAAAATCCCTCCTCTAAGGAACCTCATAGAAGCTTCATTTAACCTCTCTTTATCACACTGAAAGCCCTGTACCTAGCTCAGCTTCTTGTCCTTGTTTTAGATGTCACCTTGAATACTTTTCTCCCTCAAACTGAGTATTAACCTTATTTGTTCAAATCAGTATCGACCAAGGTCTTAACTCCTGAAAGACAGAATTCCCATCTGTTTAACCAGGTTAACTGTTCATAGCACGGTTGGGAAATTAAGGAACGCTGCTAGCTGATTAGCTGCATGCGTTGTTGTAGAACTGACTATACTCGTACTTGATGTGTCCATTGAAACTGTGCCACTTTTAAATGGGTCACTGAGGGGAGGGGACTGCTTGGTTTGCATTGTCGCTTGGCCCCACGGAAAAAGCCAGGCGCAGTCTGAGTCCTTGCTGTCCCTCCCTGGGCGTGGACTCTGGTTCTGATCTCCCCTGCTCTGTTCTCCTACTCTCTCTCATGCAGAGACAGGGCAGGGCATTGTTCATGCACTGACCGACCTCAGCAGCCCCGGCATGACCTCAGGGAACGGAAACTCTGCCTCCAGCATCGCCGGCACTGCCCCCCAGAATGGTGAGAATAAACCACCACAGGCCATTGTGAAACCCCAAATCCTGACGCATGTTATCGAAGGGTTTGTGATCCAGGAGGGGGCGGAGCCTTTCCCGGTACGGACTACTTCTTTTCCCCTTTTTTTTTTAAAGTATATTTTGGATGTGTCTTAGAATATTTTTACATTTCCATGTAAAATTTCTGAAAATGTGAACAATTTGCTCTTTCCTTGCTAACTTCCTCCCCAAAAGAATACAGAGCTATTTCTTTCTAGGATTATCTTTCCAAGGTCCAGAAGGGGTGGGTCAGTGATCAGGAATGATTGGCAAGATCCTTGGTTAGAAGTTTCCACACACAAACTCAGGTGTATCCCTGCCTGATGATGTGTGAACCCTTGGTTAAAACAGACTTCACTGTGGGATATCTGATGAGAGATGATGGGCTTTGGGAAATTAGATTTCATTGAGTTTTGAATGCCAAAACCTCTGAATGGCAAAACTTCGGTCAGTTAGGAACAAAAGGAACTGCACAGAACAGAATTCTCAAGATACGTATATCAGAAATGAATGTGAGGGAACAGGGTCACAACCTGAAGCTTGTTTTCTGGGGACAGAGCCTTGAAAGGGGAGTTGAGATTGAGGGGCAGTCAGAAAGGTCACAATGGAAGCCTAAGACTAACAGGAAATATCCAAGAGCCACGAAGATGGGTTATTAGACCAAAGCACCCAGAGCTGCTTCTGTGCATTGTGGACTGGAGACAGTGGCGCTGGCCTGTGGGTGTGGAGGAGCCCAGAGCCAGGGGCACACCAGCCTCTGTTTTGATGAAAAGTATCTGGCTGTTGGAGAGACACCTTTCTGGGATACCATCTGCCTTTTCTTCATTCTTTGGTTCCATGAGTGGTTTGATTAGTCCCCAGAAGATGCAGAGCTTCATTAACTGAGATGAGTGAACTGCTCCTGTAAAATGCCAAAAGACACAGAGCTTCTTATCTTCTTTCCCACTGGAGGTTGTCCAAGGCCAGTGGCAAAGAAATCCGCCTGGAACACCTGAGCTAGAAGTGGCTCTAGCTCTGTTACATCTCTTCCCTGTTAGACTGGGCCTCCTAGAGTAACACTAGAAACCACCTGATCTCCATGGGGGGGAGGCAGATTGCATACCACCCCCAGCATCGCCCTAGAGTCAGTGCCACGTGACTGGCTACCAGGCTGCCTAAACAAAGGCCACAAAACGAGATCCAAACATGTAAATAAGCTGCTCTGGGGTTCTGACAACTGAGAGGTCATTGGCTCTATGGCCCAGGGTCTGTTTTTTCCTGCTGTCCTCTGTGGCTGCCTGTACCTCTGGCTTGGGTCAGGCATTGGGGTAAGGTGAACAGTAAAAAATCAGAAAACGGGTGCTGAGTCTCTCTCTTGCATATGTACAGCCTCACACAGACTCCACTCTGTCCTTGCCTGGAGATGTGTGGGCACTGGGTCTTGGTGCTTGATCTGGCACTGTGGGAAACCTGATCTCAGCCTTAGACTCTTATTGGAATAGATATTTTCCTATCTCCTGAGCCATCTATTGGTCCTGGACAGAAGCCATCCCTTTACTTTGCCCATTAGCATCTTACCTCGTGAGCCAACTAGCAAAATAGGGCCTTGAGCCCGGCACACTTGGATGATGACATGGGGGAAGGTTTGAGGAGGGCTGGCCTCTGTGCCTGGATACTTTATACATGTAATTGTGATGAGGATGGATAGCAAGGAAGCCTCTCCCACCTGACCCTCACGGCCTCCGTGTCACCTGTCCTCTAGGTGGGACGCTCGTCCCTGCTGGTGGGGAATCTCAAGAAGAAGTATGCACAGGGGTTCCTGCCTGAGAAACTTCCACAGCAGGATCACACCACCACCACTGACTCGGAGATGGAGGAGCCCTATCTGCAAGGTGGGCATCTCAGACCCTGAATCTCTCGGCCTCCGAACGTGGCTGGAAAGGCAGGCCTCCCACACTTCCTCTCTTGGTGTCCTCAGAGGAACCCTGAGCCAGCAAGTCTGTAAACATTTTCCCCAGCACCTCCTCAGCCTCCTTCCCTCAAAAACAGGGATAGGGGAAATCAGGGGAACCATGTGTCCTCTGCTCCCCCAGTCCCCCTCCGGCCAACCACAGGATTCCAAAAATGGCTTTTCCTGTGTGAATCATTGGCAAGTTTTAGGCGTGATTGTAGGAGCGGCCCCAGGCAAGTCCTGCCCTTCGTCCCTACCTTGAGACTGGGGCCACGGCAGCCAGTTGCATAGATCAAGGTGGGGTGATGCCAGTGGAGCAGCTGTGAAAGCATCCAGAGTAGTTTCCTGGGGGCTCCTGCTTTCTTCCACAGTCATTTGATGCTGATTCTTCCCCACCTGTGTTTTGCTTCAGACTCAGAGCACTTGGAAGAAAAAATGTTAAGTATACAAGGGGCATCCCCAGACACCCTTGAGTACATTCCAGGGGTGAGAACCACTGGCATTTTCCATGCTAGACTGCTGCTGCATGTCACAGCTGTGGGAGCAGGAGGACCAGGCAGGACGCCCCGCGGTGGGGCTGGCCACAGTCCTGCAGGAATTTCTCATTCTCCACCCTACCCATTTTTATACTTTGCAGAATCCAAAGAGGAGGGTGCTCCCCTCAAACTCAAGTGTGAGCTCTGTGGCCGGGTGGACTTTGCCTATAAGTTCAAGCGTTCCAAGCGCTTCTGTTCCATGGCTTGTGCGAAGAGGTGAGTGGCCCCAGCCCCCTCCATTTCCTCAGGACTGCACTTTATGTCCCACCTCCTGCCATTAATAGTCTACCCCAGGAGGCCCATAGGGGTGGTTTCTCCGGTTTCCTAGTTCCTCGACCCACCTGGAAGCAGGATGGCATCCCTAATTCAACAAGCATGAGAAGCCAGAACCCCTAAGAGCAGGTGGGAGAGAGCAGCAGGGAGTCCAAGGAAAAGCCGCAATGCTGGGCCCCACTGGCATCCATTCGCCTTTCCTAGCCTTGACAGCCCCTGCCTTGTTAGGGTAAGCCTTGCCCAGAACCACAGCTACAGCGTTCCCTTAGTGAGCTCTCACCCAGCACAGAGCACTAATGGTCATCATAAAAACCACTGTCATTTCCCAAGAACCTGCTGTGTGCTAGTCACTGTGCCAGTCAATTGATACGATTATCTCATTTTCAAAATAACTCCCAAGCCAGGTATTACTATTGTACCTTTATACAGGTTATGAAGCCAACGCACAGAGGAGTAGTAGTGCCTCAAATGACATAGCTAATAAGCCATGGGCCTGGGGATTTAGGCTTGTCCAGTTCTAAAGCCCTATGTGGTCTTTGTACCACAATGGAAGCAGCAGCTGACCTTGAAGCCCTGAAATCCCAGAAGAGAAGAAATCTCTAGGTCCCAGGCAGAGGTGCTCTGCATGCCAAGCTAGAGTTCAGCTGTCTTCAGCCCTCATCCCCTCAGGTTGTCGGGGCAGCCAGGCCACTCCCCAGCAGGACAGTGGACGGTACTTTCCTGGCACAGGATAACATTTATAGTGGAATAAGTCAGATGTGAGCTCTCACCGTGGTCCAAGTCCAGGTGTCATCTCAAACATTTTACAGACATTATCTCATGTTGTAAGACCAGTCCTAGAGAGTGAGTGGTATTACCCCCAACTCCAGACAAGGAAACGGAGGATCAGGGCTTAAATGACTTAAATCCAAAGTCACACAGCTAGTAGTTGGTGATGGAGTTAGGATCTGAACCAATGGACTCAGATTTGTCAGACAGCTTGGCTGTGCTCATTGTGCCTACGGCCCATAAGCATGACAACTGCTCTGACATCCCCTGTTCCCCTGTCCCTGAAGGTACAACGTGGGATGCACCAAACGGGTGGGACTTTTCCACTCAGACCGGAGCAAGCTGCAGAAGGCAGGAGCTGCGACCCACAACCGCCGTCGGGCCAGCAAAGCCAGTCTGCCACCACTTACTAAGGATACCAAGAAGCAGGTAAGAGGTCGGCAGAGCCTGAAGCTCCATCCCCGCAGTCCCCACAGTTCCCTTTCATGGCCCTCGACACCACAGCCCCCTCCAGCTGCTGACTTCAGCGCACTCTGCTGTGCTCTCATTCCTTGGAGACCTGTCCAGTTGAGCCTTCTGCACCCCAGTAGGTCCCTTCATTTAGACCCACGGTGCTTACAGGGTTCCCTGCCCCTTCCTTGGCCTTGCCCCAACATCACCCCACCTTCCAGTTTGCCTCCGTCCTTGGCTTCTGGGGCCACGGAAATGGGGTCTCCCCTGGGCTGCTCAGGTAACCTCCTGCCTTACATGGAGGGCTGGGTGAGAAGGCAGCCTCCACCCTTTGTTTTGCCACCTTTTGCCTCCCCAAACATGAGGGCACAGAGTTCTTGAAGATCTGAACCAAGAACGTGGGTTGTTAAACGTTTTTTAGCACCAGCTGTATGCCAGAAACTCTGTTAGGCACTAGGCTCTAAGGACACAGTCTCGCCCTAAAGGAACTCCACAGCATGGTGTGATGTTTCATAACCTTATCTATAATTTTGCCTGTTGTTTTTGTCTTAAACCTCCTTAAAAATGGTCCAAAGCTATGGTCCAAAATGTACATATAGAAGAAATTTTACATGCCATTTCAAGTGGCTCTATGATCACCTCCTAGAACTCACAGAGCCCTGCTTTAAAACCCATGTCTAGAAAAGATAATTGCAGTGCTGTGTGGTACACACTACAGTACTGAGAGGGACTAACTCCTGCCTAGGGTAGGAACAGGACAGCATGGAAGATGCTGTTAGATCTGGGAACTCAGAAGTGTAGTAGGCCAAGTAGAAAAAGGAGAAATACCTCCTTTGTCCATCACTGCTGCGAGAGATGGTTTGTTCCCCGATCCTGAAGAAAACTCTTTGCTCCCAGCCAACAGGCACTGTGCCCCTTTCGGTTACTGCTGCTTTGCAGCTAACACACAGCCAGGAAGACTCCAGCCGTTGCTCAGATAACTCAAGCTATGAGGAACCCTTGTCACCCATCTCAGCTAGCTCATCTACTTCCCGCCGGCGACAAGGCCAGCGGGACCTGGAGCTCCCCGACATGCACATGCGGGACCTGGTGGGCATGGGACACCACTTCCTACCAAGTGAGCCCACCAAGTGGAACGTAGAAGACGTCTACGAATTCATCCGCTCTCTGCCAGGTAAGACCCTTGGAAATTCCATGTCTCCCTGGAATAGCAAGGAAAGAGAAAATGAGACCCTCCCACCACCAGGAGGATTAGGTAGTTCAGTTAATGACTCAGGTTCAGGAACTGGGGTGCAGAGATGAGTGAGATGAGCTCCCTGCCTATAAGAGCTTGCTTATATTCAGCATAGAATGCAAACTCTAAATATCCCATAGCTGTAATTCTGTATATTTTCTGGCATAGTAAGTGGTCTGTGTGAAATACAGACATGGTAATATAATATTATAACTCTCTCTCTCTCCTGGGAGAGATTAGGACGGGAATCAGGTAGAGTGTAGGATATGTGTCAAGAACATCAAAATTAAGAAAATAACCAGATGTGGTGGCTCACATCTATAGTCCCAGCACTTTGGGAGGCTGAGGTGGGAGGATTGCTTGAGGTCAGGAGTTCAAGACCAGCCTGGGCAACATAGTGAGACATGTCTCTACCAAAAAAAAAAAAAAAATTAAGAAAATGTAAACTAAATGACAGTAGACAAGTATGCCTTTGTTGGATGGAGAGACTGCAGGAGGGTGCACATGCAGAGGCATGAAGATAGGGAAGTCTATGGCATGGCCAGACATGGCACAGAGGCCTGCATGGTGGAGCCCTGCGTGGTGGTGAGGCCCAGGATCTAGGAGCCAGCTGTAAGAGGCAAGCCTTACGTCATTCACAAATGCCTTCAGTGGGGCCTGGATGCATGACTGTTTTTCTGCCAGTCTCACTCATACACCAACCAGGTCAGGTATTCATGGCAACCACAAGCCTCTTTCTCAGAGACTGCAGTGTGGTAAGAGCACAGACTTCTGAGTCACACAGAACTGGGTTCAAATTCTGGCTCTGTCACTTAACCTAGTATGTTATCTCCTCATCCCCAAAATTTTTATTACACAGTTGCTGTGGGTAAGGAATTCAGGAGTGGCTTCCTGGGCAGTTCTGCCTCAGGTCTCTTATGAGGTTGCAATTAAGATATCAGCCAAGGCTGAGGTCATGTGAATACTGAAGAGCTGTGGGATCTCTTCCAAGGTGCCTCACTCACGTGATTTGCCCTACGGGCTGGCTGTTGGCAAGAGGCCTTGGTTCCTGTCTACATGGGCCTCTCCAGAGGGCTGCTCGAGTGTTCTCATGATATGCATGGCAGTGGGTTTTCCCCACAGGTAGGGATCCAAGAGAGCAAGGTAGAAGCCACTGTGCCCTTTATGATCTAGCCTCCAAAGCCATGTACTGGCATTTTCACAATATATATTTTTTTAAATTTCTTTTCACAATATCTTATTGGTCACACAGGTCAGTCTTATTCATTGTGTGAGAAGACTCACAAGGGCACGAACTGGAAAGCAAGGATTATTGGGCGCCATTCAGAGACAGGCCATATAGTTCACCATGGCCCCCAGAAATTTGTGTTCCTTCCTCATGCAGAATACCCTCACCCCACCAAATCCCCAACAGTTTGGTCCCATGGCAGCATCAGTTTGAAGTCCAGGCTCTCATCATTGAACCTAGGCCCAGGCATAAATGAGGCTTCTGGGGTCCAGTTCTTCAAGTATAGGTCCTCTCAGTCTGAAGATCTGAGAACTACAGAGAGAGGCTATCTGCTTACTTCCACAAAGCCAATGCACAGTAGGACAAACATAGATAACCATTACAGAAATGCCCATCCAAAAAGGGAAGAAAGAGGGAATGTACAAGAGTCGCTGATCCATTCCAGTTCCGAAATCCGCTAGGGTTTATGGTGGCATTTCCTCAATTGGGACTCAAAGCCTGGGAGTGATTTCTCTCTTGGCTCTGCCCTCTGAGTTCTCCTTCCTTTTCTGTGAAAAGTAGCCTGTATTTTCAGTGTAGTCGTTTTCTCAGCCTGCTTCCTGCTTTTATGTTATATTACCTTTGACTCTTTTTTTTTGAGACGGAGTCTTGCTCTGTCACCCAGGCTAGAGTGCAATGGCGCAAGCTTGGCTCACTGCAACCTCCGCCTCCTGGGTTCAAGCAATTCTTGTGCCTCAGCCTCTCGAGTAGCTGGGATTATAGGCACGCACCACCACGCACAGCTAATTTTTGTATTTTTAGTAGACATGGGGTTTCACCATGTTGACCAGGCTGGTCTCAAACTCCTTACCTCAGGCGATCCACCTACCTCAGCCTACTAAAGTGCTGGGATTATAGGCGTGAGCCACTGCACCCGGCCTACCTTTGACTCTTAAAATCAGTAATTCAGTATTTCTTTTTTGTTTGTTTTGAGACAGAATCTTACTCTGTCGCCCAGGCTGGAGTGCAGTGGCACCATCTCGGCTCACTGCAAGCTCTGCCTCCCAGGTTCACGCCATTCTCCCGCCTCAGCCTCCTGAGTAGCTGGGACTACAGGCGCCCGCCACCATGCCCAGTTAATTTTTTTCTATTTTTAGTAGAGACGGGGTTTCACCGTGTTTGCCAGGATGGTCTCGAGCTCCTGACCTCGTGATCCGCCTGCCTCGGCCTCCCAAAGTGCTGGGATTATAGGCGTGAGCCACCACACCCGGCCAGTAATTCAGTATGTCTTAAAATGATTGTCAGTTTTCTGGGAATCTTGTTGGGGTCCATTCCATTAGACAAAAAACACACCCAGAATTATCTTCAAGGATAAGCTGTTGTCTGCATTGGGATTCTTCTGAAGCTGAGGGGCAGCACGGACAGTGCCCTTCACATTCTTAGAAACCCTGCTGTTGAAAAGAGGATCTGTGAGGCGTGCCTAGAAAATCCATAGAGAGCCTTTGGATTGAATAGCATTTTGAGGCATCATTTTAGATCTTTCTGAAGTCTTTAACGAAAAGATTTAAGTCACATCCTAAGTTTAATCTGTAGACCACGTTTTCTTGACTGTGCCCCGAATTTGATCTTTGCCTAGAAACCATTTCTTAATTTTAGCGTCATGTGCCATCTGGAGAGGCTGGGCATTTTTAAAACCGGCAGATCCCAGTTCCTTTCTGTTGAACAGTTTTGTTTGTTTTTACCTTCTCTCTCTCCTGTTTTACTGTGAGCAGCAGTAAGAAGCCAAGCAATACCTTCCACATTCTGTCTGAAAATCTCCTTAGCTAGACCACCCACTTCAGGAGGTACATTCAACTTACATTTCTGCCACCAACCACATTTTTACAAAATGTTCTTTTATTTCATAATAGAGACCCTGTTTCTTCTAATCTCCACTAAGAGTTTCCTCACTTTCCTTTAGGCCTCCCAGCAGCTTCCCCAAAGGCCATGAGACTTCTACATACAGTCTCTCAAAGCACCTTAGACACTCACGCTTTCCACAAAGTCCTTCTGGCTCCTGCCTGTGGCCAGTTCCAAGGCCACCCCCACATCTATAGAGCTGTTTTACGGCAGCACTCCTTTTCCAGGTACCAGAATCTGCATTTGTTACCTATTGCCGTGGTGTAAATTACTCCAGAACTCAGTGGCTTTAAGCAGCAATCACTTGTCATCTCAGTGGCCCTGTGGGTCAGGAATTGAGTGGCTCAGCTGGGCAGTCCCAGTATGAGGCTCCTCGTGTCCAGTTTATCTTAGTCTGAAGACCTGGAAACTAAAGAGAGAGGTTATCTGCTCCCTTCCACAAATCCAGTGTATGAGTTTGAGGTCATATGAGGTCTCAGGGAAGATGCCATACAGGGCTGCAGTGTCTGAGGTCTGGAGCCAGAAAACCGACTTCCAGCATGGTTCACTCACACGGCGAGGTGGCCGAGGACCACCAGGGCCTTGGCTGCTCTCCATGCGTGCCTCTCCAGAGGGTTGCTGGGGTGGCTTACTGGTAGCTGGCTTACTCTGCAGTAAACCAGACAGAAGAGTGAGGTAAGAACTGCTGTGCCCTTTACAATCTAGCCTCAGAAATCACACGCTGTCACTTCCTCAGCACCTTAGTGGACATGGGTCACAGAGCAGGGGTCTGAACATGGGCACATAGGAGGAGGCCCAGATCGTGGCTGCTGTGGGTGAGTTGCCCAGCCTCTCTCAAGCTGCAAAATAAAAACAGCAGTGCCTTCCTCAAGGCGTGGTTATGAGGACTAAAGGAGATAATGGATGCAGATAACTAGATCTAGATAACTAGGCAGTGGCTGCCAGAGGTGAACGCTGGCAGCTTGGATTGACAGTCTTTGGTGGTACCCCCTCAGGCTGCCAGGAGATAGCAGAGGAATTCCGCGCCCAGGAAATTGACGGGCAAGCCCTGCTGCTGCTCAAGGAGGACCACCTGATGAGCGCCATGAACATCAAGCTGGGGCCTGCCCTGAAGATCTACGCCCGCATCAGCATGCTCAAGGACTCCTAGGGCCGGCGGCAGCCAGGATGCTGGCCCAGGGCGCCTCCTCCCGACTGAGCAGAGCCAGACAGACATTCCTGAGGGGCCCAGAAATGGGGCCAGTTGGAGGGCAGGGGCTCTCCCTAGGGGCGTAGCTGGTGAGGAGGTCTGGGCACCTCCTCCATGGCTCTCAGGGGCCTTTCATTTCTGTGGGAGGGGCAGAGAGGTAGGTGGCACAGAAGATGGGGCTTTATGCTTGTAAATATTGATAGCACTGGCTTCCTCCAAAGTCCCAATACTCTAGCCCCGCTCTCTTCCCCTCTTTCTGTCCCCCATTTTCCAGGGGGTATATGGTCAGGGCTCCCCAACCTGAGTTGGGTTACTTCAAGGGCAGCCAGCAGGCCTGGATGGAGGCCTAGAAAGCCCTTGCCTTCCTTCCTCCCACTTCTTTCTCCAGGCCTGGTTCACTCTTCCGTTGTCAGCTTCTCCCCCTTCAGCCTGTTTCTGCAGCAGCCAGGGTTCTCCCCACTACACCCGCTGCAGGTGGAGAGAGAGAAGCTGGGCCCAGCCGGGCCGTGCCTGCTGGCACAGACGCCTTAACGCTGTGTGTATGACTGTGTGACTGTGTGGGAGCCTGGACTGACAGATAGGCCAAGGGCTACTCTCTGGCATCTCCAGGTGTTTTGTAGCAAACAGCCACTTAGTGCTTTGTCCTGGACTCCACTCAGCCTCAGGATGGGGAATAGCCAAGAAGGGCAGCCTCAGTGCAGAGGCAAGGTCAGAAAGAGACGGCGCTTCAGAGTTTCCTTTCCAGACACCCCTCCCCGCACTGTGAAGTTCCGCTGACTGCCCTCCTGGTTCACAAAGAGCATTAAGAAAGCTGCGGTGGTCTGAGCAACATAGCTCAGAGGGCTGAGCCTCCTGGCCTGCCTGCCTGCCCGCCCACCCTGGGAGTCCCAGTGGTGGGGCCCGGAGAACTTCTAAGGGGAGAGAGCAGCTGGAGTTTCTGTTGATGTGAGGAAGGCAGCTCTTGGCCTCCCACTCCCACACTTCTTTGCGCATAAAACTTCCTAGCAGCAATTTGAGCTACCTGAGAAGGAGGCAGGGCAGGAAGGGCGAGGGCCTGCCTCTGACCTGCCGTGTCCTTTGCAGGAAGGAGGTAGGCACCTTTCTGAGCTTATTCTATTCCCCACCCACACCCCCAGGCAGGGTTGGAAATGAAGGACTTTTTTAACCTTTGTTTTGTTTTTTAAAAATAAATCTGTAAAATCTGTCTCTTTGGTGCCTTTCTCCCCTAGGAATGCCTGTCTCTGGGCCCAAATGGCTACTTTTCACCCATATGGAGACGGGTGGGTCCCTGGGCTGGGGAAGGGACCTTAAGTGGACAGCATATCCTCCACACTTTTCTGGAGCTGGGTCATTTGAGGGTGCCCTCAGCTGCAGTTCACACAGGTACATACCAGCTTTCTTCACACGGTGTCCCTTGGAGAGGATCCAGAAGCCCTTTCTGCTCTGTGTCCCTATACCTGCCATTCCCACTTGGGAGATGACTGTTGGGCTAGCAACCTCTAGACCCCTGGGACACAACCCAGACTCCCCCATCTTCCAGCACACACCTGTGGATAGGGCTGCACAGCATCCAGAGTAGCCTTGGGATGGCTTTGGTTCACTAAGCACTTTTGCATGCTCAAATAGAAAATGATTAGGGCACAGAGGAGGCATCTAAGCCTTGAATAAAGAAAGAGGGCATTCCAGACCAAGGCAGTAAGTGCAAAGGCACAAGCATGAATGTGGAAGTGCAAATGAGGGGCAGGTGAGCTGGCTGGACTAGACGTGTGTGCTGCTAACTATGTTAGCCTATGTTGACCACATGCCTCTGAACCAGGCACTGTGTTAGCAGTGAGACGAGGGTGAAGCACAGAATAACCATGTGCCCTCTTGCGTGGAGTGAAATCTACCCCACGTCTATGGGGGGAAGGGAAAAAGGGCAGCTTGGCCTCACTGCTCCTCCCCCTTCATCAGGTTTTTCCTTAAGGGACCATTTCCACCTGTTAAAAATTTAGGTTATGGCTGCTCACATCTGTAAACCCAGCACTTTGGGGAGGCTGTGGTGGGAGGATTGCTTGAGGCCAGGAGTTTGAGACCAACCTGGGCAACATAGGGAGACCTCATATCTACAAAAAAATATTAAAAAATAGGCAAGGTGGTGTGTACCTGTAATCCCAGCTATTCTGGACGCTGAGGTCAGAGGATCGCTTGAGCCCAAGAGTTCAAGGCTGCAGTGAGCTATGATTGCACCATTGTACCCCCAACCGAGGTGACAGACAAAACCTTACTTTTAAAAAAAAGCAGAGATGGGGGTGGTTTGAGGGTCAGGCCACAACCTACTGAATCACAATCTCCAAAGGATGATTACTTACTTGAAAGTAACTTTCAAGAACCAACACTCACATCTTAATAACTCCTCTGGAAAGCCTATGAAAATGTAACTTTCTTGGAGGAGAAACACACTGATTAGTTGATCCCCAGGAGGCAGAACTAGGGACTGGAAAGCCTGGTGTCCCAGGAGGCAGGGAATGGCTGGCAGGACCCTGAGCTGACAGGGGAGGAGGAGGATGCTGAGATTGGGGGAGTGAGCCCTGGGGAGCCCCCAGGCAAGAATGATCACCCCATGTGCTGCCTCCTCTCCTGCTGCTGGAGTGCAGGTCACATGTGCAGGTGCACCACTGGCCTACAGGACTCTGGGCAGTTCTTTTCACTTTCTGGACCTTAATTTTCCATTTATGGAAGAAAATGGAAACGAGGCCCCACCTGAGTGAGTTATGTGTGTAGCAAAGAGGAAGGGAACCAAACCTACTCCTTAAAGATGTGGTGAATTTGATTCACACCAGTAAGTATCCATCTTCTTTGGATGAAAAGCTCCAACCTACTGCAAGTTTGCAGGACGTACCTGCAATAGGCATTTGCTATTCCTGTTGTTTACACTTTACACTGAATTTCACAAACCTATTTCCATCATGATCCACAATTTAAAGAAATATTTCCCAACCTCATATACACACTTCAATATCAACTGAAACAAACATTTCATGAAACAAAACCTACCCTTATGTACAATACAGAATATTTTCTTTTCCATTGTATTCCTGTTCATATTTTTTAAATCTTGATCATGACCCACTGAACTCATTACACGACCCTCAGATAGGTCATAACTCGAACTTTAAAAAGCACTGCCCAGAGTAAACCACAATGGTTCGACACCCAGGATCTTACGTGGTTCTCTCTCCTGGGTGACTGGTGTACATACTGGTGTACATTCTACTGAGAAGGTAAAGGGCTCCACTAGGTGAACTGTCCAAGGTCACAGGTGCCGAGTGCCCTTCAGATCTGGCTGAGGTTCCGTGCAGAACAGGGCTTTTCCTGGGTGGCAAACACCATACCTTGATCCCCAGCCATTCCCAAGAACCAAAGACACTTCCCCTGTAGAGGGAAGAGGAGTCTCTACAAAATGACAGAGCCTCCAGCCAACCAGAACTGGCCTACTCAGACCCACCCTCTTCCAGGTGATTGGCCCCAAAAGGGTTGCCAGCCCCACTCCACCTTGGGGCCAGCTTCCCGCAAAAGGTCGCAGCCCTGGCAGGTCCCTCCCAGGCAGTCCATCCTGACTGCTCCTGTGGGTGCAGCTCCTGAGGTAAAGGGGGAGGAGCTGCTTGGTCCAGGTCTCCAGGAACAGGCCATTTCTTCCCCAGCTCTGAGCTGGGAAAGTCTGCTCCAGGCCATCCTACCTACTTCCCCACATGGCTCTCAAGGAGGGACTCAGGTGAGTGGGGACAATGGTGTGGAGAGGAAGAAAGCTTGGGTTCAGCTGAGCTAAGAGGGATCTAGTCTGATGGCTAAAACAGTACCAAGGAGAGGCACCAGACCCAGCCCAGGAGTACCAGCTGAGGCCTCCGATCCTGGGGAAAGGTGACTCCAAGAGGGGACATTGCCCCAGGAGAAGACAGACAATCCGTGTGCATGGACACCGGGGTGGGGAAGGCTGTATTCCACAAGATTTTGTAGCCAACGAAAAGCTGGACTCCCCTTGCTTCCCTTAACTCCAAACCTCCTTGGCGAGCTGGAAAGCAGAGACCCGGCTACATTCCCTCCCCGACTGTAACTGAGAGCTCCCTCTATCCCCACTGGGACTGATGGTCCAGGACTAGGAACCTGTGCCCCCTTAAGACCTAATGGCTGATCTTTAACCCTTTCTTGAAGCCAAGGAGAGTAGGGAACAGGGCACAGGGTGGAGCTTGAGGGACTACCTTCTGCAGGTAGAATCTGAACAAGAAATACGGAGAAGTGGGCTGGTCAGGGGCCTCCACAGACTACGGGTTCCCAGGCTGGGGCATAGGAGGGGAAGGAGGAGCTGGGGTCCCACCCACTCCTAGGTCTCAGCATCCTCCCAGGCCTGACCACAGGAGTTCACAAGACCATCTCTGCCTGTGTGCCCTGGCTGAGGCCCAGAGCCCAGAATAAGCATCGGTTTGCCCTACCCTGGTTGGGAGGAGGCTGGTAAAGAGGGTGGGACAGCCACAGAGGGGGAGAAAGCCCTCCAGCCTTTTCCTGCTCCTGTAGTACTTTACGCAGTACCTCGCATACCTCCCACAGTGCACCTCCAGAGGCAGCCTTGCCAGCTCCCAGTACAGGGTTTGACCAGGCTTCTAGGAGTCAGAGGAGCCCAGCTGCAGCCAACCATCCAGGAGCTCAGACAGGAGCTGAATAGAGTGGGAAGGGAAGCAGCCAAGCCCACAGGAAGAAGTAACAGGGCCGAGAACCCTGTGAGATGAGCCTCAGGGTTGAGCTAGGCCCAGGTCAAATAGAGCCCAAACGCCATGCTGGAAGCTCTGGCTGGGGAATCCGACAGTCCTACTCAAAGCCCAAGCCTACACCTTACCGTACCCTGTGCAAATGCCTTGGTGAAAAGTATAAACAACAGAAACGGCAAATGCCTATTGAAGGTGCGCCCTGAAAACTTGCAGTAGGCTTTTCACCTAAAGAACACGGATACTTATTGGAGGAGAAACAAACTGATTAGTTGATCCCCAGGGGGTAGAACTAGGGACTGGAAAGCCTGGTGTCCCAGAAGGCAGGGAATGGCTGGCAGGACCCTGAGCTGAGAGGGGAGGAGAAGGATGCTGAGATTGGGGAGTGAGCCCTGGGGAGCCCCCAGGCAAGAACGAACGCCCCATGTGCTGCCTCCTCTCCTGCTGCTGGAGTGCAGGCGCACCACTGGCCTACAGGACTCTGGGCTGTTCTTTTCACTTTCTGGACCTTAATTTTCCCTTTATGGAAGGAAATGGAAACCAGGCCCCACCTGAATCAGTTGTGTGTGTAGCAAAGAGGGAGAGAACCAAACCTACTCCTAAAAGAAGATGTGGTGCATCTGATTCACACCAGTGAGGCCACCCAGCCTTGCAGAGGTGAGATGTCACTGAGATCCACTCCAGGCCTCTGTGCATCCTCTCTCACAGTGACCCTGGCCCAGCCCCCTTGCTAACTGCTGCCCTCAGGTATTGTGTGTCCCCTGGACATCGGTGTTCACCTGGCTGTCCCGACTCAGTGCTTCTCAAGCTGCAGTGTGCGTTTCCTTGATCTTTCCTTCTATGTTCTCAGCGGTTGATCCCAGTGACCCAAATGGACCCCTGCTTTCTCCCCTGAGCAACTGCAACCCTAAGCCAGTGAATTAACCTTTCTAAGCCTCAATTTCCTCATGTGTAAAGTAGATAAGTACAGCATCTCCTTCAAGGGGCTGTGGTGTGCCTTTAACAGGACGGGCACAAAATACATTTGGCCAAGTATCCGTCTCAGTAAGTGTCTGGCATTATGCATAAGGAGTGCAGACTTAATCCTGAAGAAAATGGAGTTTTCAGCAAAGGAGTACCAGTTCACTTGGAAGAGAGAATGAATACAAATAACTCATTCATTGTTTCATTCATTTGCTGAACAAATACTTATCAATAGCATGAATTATGAGGCAGGCTCTGGAATTTGGCACCAGGAATACAAAGGCTGGCAAAACAGAGAAACTTGGAGCCTAGTGGGGCAGACAGTCCCTAGCATCGCTTGGCAGGTACTAGAGGAGAGGTCTGGGAAAGCGACAGAGGCGCAACCTGGGGGCGGGACCTAAGAGGAGGAGATGAGGAAGCTGGGTGCTGAGGAATGATGCGGAGCTTGTTGGCTGATGGGAGGAAGAGAGCAATCAGAGTGGAATACAGAGGTGGGGACGCCT